CTAACTCAACCCCATGCAACAAAAATTTATACTATGTGTTCATTATGGTCCACTCCTCCTCGACGAACAAGTACATAAGTGAAAATTTAGTCAAAGACTAGAAAACTGCACAAGAAATTTGCCTTATTTACACGTATCGGCAATGCAAACTGCCATGCGACTTCCCCTTCTGACGTCACAAGGGGAATTTCTGTATGCAAATGAGAAGCTAATGAGGAGCCTCGTTAAAATACACAAAAATAAAGTTGCTGTAGACTGAGTTTAAAACACATTTTTTTACTTAAAAAAAATAATTCATGCTTAGAAACATAAAAATTAATAATATTTATGTATCAATTGATAATTTTAGGCGTGAAAATAGCAGCCATTTCACAGGCACTTTAATTAACCTATTCAATCCCGGGTTGAGTTGAGTACAGTGTTGAAATTGCACTTTAAATCATGGAAATATTACCCACTATATAAAAGTTGACGATATATTTTAGCAAAATGCTAAACCTGGAAACTGTTCCCATGTAAAGTTAAAGTTGACAAGTTAAATTCATGTCTGAATGGCAATGTCAGTTTCATTAATAAAAACCCATAGATATATTGGATTTTAATATATTCAGTCCTGTGTTTTGTATAATTTGGAATGGGTATGAATTTTAATTTTCATTATTCAGATTTATTGAATTTGATGTTAAAACTTAAAACTAATAGATGATTTAAATCATCATTATTGATAATTTGAGATGTCGTTTGCATAGTGCATGTGCAGTACATCACATGCCAGCCATACTATATGTACTGATACACATTGATGCTGGATTATTGAACTATGGCGAATGTACAGTGGTTGTGGTCCATTATTAGGATGTAAAAGTTTCCACTGATCAAAAAGTCTAATGGATTGCATTTCCACCATATTGGATCTTGGTTGTGTAGATTTTGTTCAAACTTGATACATATAATTGATTACTGGTGACTATTTTGTTTTAGTGAATTTAAGATGGTTGACACACAGCTAGTCTTTACCCAGTACATCCATTATGGTTACAGCATCAGGCAAAAGATCTGTGCTTGAATGTGCTACCAAATATAACTTTTTTTTGCTATAATATCCAACTTTATAATGTTTTAGGCTTCTTTAGTTTGGATTTCAGAAGCTAGAAAAACATTACTTTACGTATACAACATAGCCAAGATGACATTTTGAATGGAAGCATACCCAAACTCTTTTCTCAGTTATAAAATCACTTTGCTTTTTAATAGTTTAGCATTAGACTCAATATTGTATATATTTCAGAGCATTCATAATTTGATTAAAATATTATGCATACATCTGATTTTAATCAAATGGGTGAATTTATTAATGAAGACAGGAAGAAGGGCTTTAATTTTTTCACACGTTTAAAGATACTACAGTACAATCTAATTTCGTTTTAAAAGTTGTATTATTGACGTTTGTGGATGGAAGTTATAGAATGGATCTACCAGGTTGTGTGTTCAGATATGGATGAAGCAATTTGGTTCTAACCTGATATAATATCAACACATAAAGGCATTATTTGCCCCTTTATTTTTTTCACAATTCATTCAAATATACTCAACTGTTGGAAAAATTCTAGGCACCTTTAGAATATTTGGCTCATCTTGTTAAGCAACTATTTCTCTGACTTTATGATTTTTTTAATAGTATACCAAACCCTGTCCACCGAGTTGTCAACCAAAAGTTGAATCGTTACAGAATAATTTAGATGTAGTAACAGAGCAAGCAGAGAGACATTATTATAACTGTGATTACCAAACATGTTATAAGATCACATCAGAGTAAGTACACAAACATTATTGCTGATATAAAATACATGACATTGTCAGCTGCGGGAAATGACCGGGCAACGGTGAAAAACAATTTTATATTTACAAAATAATTTTGTTTCAGTGTGCTGAATTCTGATCCGTATCACAGTCAGTGTTTACCATTACATATTGCAACATTAGTAGAACTGAATAAATCTAATGGTAAGTGTTACCATGGTAATTGTAGTCTCAATAACTTAAAAAATTGTTTATCAAGCTTTCAGTGATGTACTATTTATCAGTATAAAAGTTTGAGTTAGTATATTTGCAGTGTTTTTCTTGTGATGGTTTCAGTACTGAAAATAATTTGTTTACACAAATTGGATTACTTGGATACTAGGATGATTCATTTCCATCGTGTTCATCTATTTCCAGCATTATTTTATTTGTCCCATAAATTGGTTGACATGTATCCTAACCAAGCTGTAGCCTGGTATGCTGTGGGTTGTTATTATCTATTAATTGAAAAGTATGAACTTGCAAGGAGATACTTCAGGTATGTAAACAGTATATTATAAGTAGTTTTTGCCTATGTAGAATAGAATACTGTAAACCATGTAATCTTCACGGATAGAAATTTTCACAATTTCAAGCATTCATGAAAGTCGAAATTTCATGAACGTCACTCATGAAATCTGTTAAAATTTGTCCCACATGAAATTAAAACAGTTTACTGTACTTTGTCACCAAGTAATGTGTAGTATCACTACATCACTGCTATATCTTTATTGCCAGTTATCTGCTTCTCACTCCAACGTGACAAACATGGATAAACTCAGCCGCTTGGCACTAGTCGGACTACTGACCACTGTACAGTGTTTACTTCTTGATATGTCAATTTCAACAAGGAATGTACGTTTTCTGTTTGCAGTAAATCTGCCACATTAGATAGGAATTATGGTCCTTCATGGCTGGCATTTGGACATGCATTTGCTGCAGAGGGTGAACATGATCAAGCTACAGCTGCCTACTTCTCAGCATCCCAGATAATGAGAGGGTAATTAATATTTCTGACTGCTAACTTTGTTGTGTTGTGAATTAGTGCTCATAAAATGATGACCTCTGCTGCGCATTGATCGATATTTTCACAGTACTGTCTTCATGCACACTTTACGGTACTCTTGTAATAACCTTATTATTATACGTCGTCTCCTCCCAGGGACACATCATGGGAATGCCGAAATCCAAAACGTTTTGAACAGATTTAGCGAACTTGTTTGTGTCCAGTCAAACCTTGGGGGCAGCCATGTTCGTTTTTATTGTTAGAGGATGCTTATGCACGTAATCATTCCATATTTGGAATTAAATACCCAGTGCAGTACCGCAAAATCATGGCACGTTGGAACTTATAGCGTTATGGTGACAGATGTATAATACTATATTTTATTTTGTATTCACAGTTGTCATTTACCTATGTTGTATATCGGATTAGAATATGGATTGACTAACAACCCACGACTTGCTGAAAGATTCTTTCGACAAGCATTAACTATAGCACCAGAAGATCCATTTGTATTACATGAGATGGGTGTGGTTGCTTATCACAATCATGAGTAAGTCACAACTACTGTTTATATGTTACATGTATCATTGACCATAACATCCTGACGTATTTAAAAAAAATGCTGTTCTGGTGTGGTGGATTCAACAGACATAGTACTGCCATGTAAGCACATTGGAGTCTTTGATTTTAGTATGTTTATGTGTTTGCCCATAGTTCCAATATTGTAGTACTTTATTCATCAATTCAACATATCAGTATATAAGACTCATATTCTTGACTCGTTTTTTTTTTTCACAGTTGGGGGTCTGCTGAGAAGTACTTCACTGACGCCTTACAGATAGTGCAGTATAATGGAGCAGAGATTATGGCTGAAAAGTGGGAACCTTTATGGAATAATCTAGGCCATGTGTACAGGAAAATGGAGTAAGTACATTTGGAATGTAATTGAAAGATGTCCTGAAAAAATGTCTTTGAGTTCTAGAAAATGAACAAACAGCATAAAAATCAGTACTGTTACAAAGTGGTCTATTTATGTCACTATTTAAAGTGGACTGTTTTGAAGATTAGCATTAGAATCCAGCTATCTCTCTACACTATAAAATCTTATGTGGACGGCAACAAAAAAAAAATGACCAAAGTTGTACTGAAATTTTAGGCTTGGAAAAATATAAAAAAAAGTCATTGAAAGTTCTAAAATTTTAAAATTATTTCATTCTGGTTTAGTGTATTATGTTAAACAACATCTTGAAAATGTTTGCTAAGGCAAATCAGTGATACCAACTGTAGATATAATTGTGATACGTATGTACCGTTATGGCATTCTTTTTCAGGCCCAAAATGTTGTACTAAATGATATTCAAGAAACAAATTATATATTTTTAAATTCTAAGAGAATGTAATAATAATTTTTAGACGGTGACATTTCACTGGTGGTGGCATATCAAGTAAGATGATCATGCTATTTTTCCTTAAACTAACATGGCATCCAATGTCAAACAAAGTTCAAAAATTCTAATAATATCGTGAAAATTATTGTTAAAAGGAAACAGTGTGCTTTTAACAGTAACTATCCGTTGTGGACCAGTGATAGATAACATGGTCTATTGTTAGTCCCCTTTCCACTGTCCGAAAACTAGGACTTGTAGATTGAGCTATGTACGTGCATGTATGTATGTATCTGTCCATATGTGCAGGATTCAATTCAAAATGGCCGAATGGTGTCGATTTTTGTGCTAAAAATCATCAAAAATCAAGCATTTTTGGTATTCTGGGTCTTGGTCAGGTTATTTATGAATGGATTTTTTTCAAACTTGGTACATACATTAGACATTATGGGTCCCTGATGTATGTCATTTTGTTTTTCAGATTGGATTCAAAATGGCTGACTGGTGGCCATTTTGTTTTAATGAATGCGGTTCTAGAGACATGTCTTAGACATGCTTTAACTGATTATGTTCAAATTTTATATATTTATTATACATCATGTCATAGATATACAGATGTATTTATTTGATGATTTGATTTAAAATGACCGACAAGTGGTCGTTTTGTTGTAATAAATGCTGTTCCAAAGCAATATCTCTCAATATACTCATTTGACAATCAGATCAATCATTTAATTGTTAAAAAAATCATCATAATCAAGTATCTAGCGTCTGGATCCACATCTCTCTATATACTGTGGAATACTTTATTTTCGCTGGAATTAATTTTCGCTGAAAAGGCTTTTTGGGCGTTTTGTATGGAATTTATTTTCACTGATTTTTGATGAGTTTAATGTGAAATATAGGAAAAAAAGTATATTCGCTGGATTTTATTTTCACGGAATCATCCCTCCAGCGAAAATAGCGAAAATAAATTCCAAGCGAAAATAAAGTATTCTACAGTATCTTAGATTTGATATTTAAAAAGCACTGTGCCATGCTTGTTTGTATTAGTATTATATGGAATTCATTGGTCGTTTCACAGTGTTATCTTTTGGTTTGTAGTAAATATGATATAGCATTAACATATCACAGACAAGCTTTAGTGCTGTGTCCACAGAATCCATCAACCTATGCTGCTATTGGATTCACATACAGTCTAAAAGCTCAGTTTGCAGAGGCTGTGGAGTACTTCCACAAAGTAAGTAGCTAATATAACTAACATGTTCTCATCTTATATATTCTTAAGTTCTCAGTACTGTTGAACACTGTCAGCAAATTTGACCTATTGAATTATGTCATTTTCAAATTAGCATACATCTGATTTACATATGTTTGCAGTAGAGGAAATATACTGTAAACCGATAAACCATGTAGTGACACTCACAAATATGACATATGTGATGATAATTTCCGCTTTTTATAATTGTACATTGTACAATACACATGTTTGGTTTTCACAAATTGTGTTTTTTATTTCAGGCACTTGGATTAAAAAGAGATGATACTATTTCAGTAACCATGCTGGCTGATACTATAGAGTTATATATGACTGATATTGAACCATGTCAAGGTAAAATATTTGGTATTCTCTGGGCCGGAGTTATGTCACAAAATTTTCTATCACAGTTGTGTGTATTTTTATAGGGTTTGCGCAACCTGCTGTGGAATGCCAGCTGAAGAGCCGGTGAAAACAGCACAAATTCATCTTTGAATTGATGGCCTGAGCAACTAAATTTATACATGTTGCCCATGTAGGGGTAATCTTGTCTTGTTTTCACTTTATGTGATTACGATAGAAATGCCTAGAAATCTGCTCTTGAGAATAGAACTCCTTTTGAAAAAAATAGTATACAAATGTATTTGGTGGTAGATAATAACAAAGCATTTTTGCTACATTGTGTTATATATTGATTTTCACATGGATTTAGGGTTTTACTTGACGTGTAAACTGGTTTTTTGTTTCATTTTTAGGGGATGGAATTCACCTTCTGTGTAGTTTACATTCAAGATTTCATATTCAGATAGATTCGGTCTTACCATGTTATGATGTTATTATTTTATGATAACACAGCAAGGTTCTGATGTGTGCAAATAATATGTGTATTTTATATATTTTTATATCATAGGTTTAGATGACAGTGACATGATTGGAAAGTTTGACATTACATCAGCAAATAAAGATGAGAGCAAAGATGATATTACATCAGGTTTAGATTCTACGATAGAAGAAGTAGAGATGGAAGACTAAGAATGAAATGTTTCATACTTGCATATTTTGTCACATAATGTAATAGTGTATGTCACCCCATGTATAATTGTCAGCATGTGTGAGTGTGTTACTCATGTCTGTGAGTGTGTTACTCATGTCTGTAAGTGTGTTACCCATGTCTGTGAGTGTGTTACTCATGTCTGTGAGTGTGTTACTCATGTCCATGTGTGTGTTACTCATGTCTGTGAGTGTGTTACTCATGTCTATGAGTGTGTTACCCATGTCTGTGAGTGTTATTCGTGTCTGTG